ACTATTATTGAGATCCTTCAACATAAGAAACTCAAAACCAATTTGCTACAAATGAGTCCTAGCAAGCAAAAACACAGAAATATTGTCCTTACAAAGATTTGATGATAATTATGGCATCTTCACATTTATAACCACTTTCATCATCTGTGCTACTGTTGAGATTATTCAACATAAGAAACTAAAAAGCAATTTGCTACAGATGAGTCCTAACAAACAAAAACACAGAGATATTGTACTTACACAGATTTGATGATAATGATGTTCTCTTCACATCGTTTAAACTCTGCACCTCAGGAGAATCTAGATCCGCACACACAGTATAAACAAAAAGCCAACGATTGTTCATCTCAATGCTGTCAGTATGCATCAAACCATGAGTGTTTGAAGTAATGGAAGCACTGCCATGTGTAAAGCATAATCAGTGACAAAACTACCATATACTTACCTAACATCTGAAAATGCTGAAGTTTGGCTTTTGTTTGTATCAGCAGAACTTTGAGACAAATTATGGAGGCTTGACTTGCTGCCTCTAGCATAGCTATTGGGAGTTCGAATTTCGTGGTATACGGAAGCATAACCTCCATCATCATCATCCGAAGGCGAGGAAATTTTCAGGTCTTCTTGCTACATGTTTGCAATAAGATTTTGGACATATTAAGAACTTTTTAGATAATTTTATACCATAAATATTATTCTAACTACAGAAAAAAGAATGATCAAATTACTTTTCAATACAAATTAACATGCATGAGATACTAGTTTGATGGCCGAGGGAGTTTAAGGCCACTGATGAAAATGGTAATGTGGTGGTGTTGCAGGGAGTTAAGGCTATTGATGGACATGGTGATGGAAAAATGAAGTGGAATTGGAAGAAATATTCACATAAGAGATTATACATGCAAGATATCATAGTTGAACCCTGATCATTGTTAGAGGGCTTACTACCTCTGTTAATCGTGAAATTTTGGCTTAGGCCATCATATAAATAGGCATTCTATTTTAGCAGCATCTTGCTTGATTTCTTCATGGAATCTAGAGATTTGTTGGGTCTTTAAACCTGCCTTGTATTTTAGATAGTGCTTTGTTTCTCTCATAATAGGGTTACTCTTATTCCAATGTATTTTTCCACTATTCTCTTTTATTATCCTTCCTTGTTTAAGATCCCCTCAAGAGTGTGTTAAGAAAATTAAGAAAGTGGTTAGAAATTTCTTGTGTTTCCAAGATCGGGTGAGATTTTGAGTGATCATTTAGTCAGATTGGAGGTTGTTGTCTTCCCAAAAAGAATAGATAAATGGGTTTGGTAACTTAATGTGTGAAACCTTGCCTGCATTGACTGAATGGTTATGACATTTTCCTGCCAAGCCTCACACTGTAGTTTAGGATGATTAATAAGAAATACAGATTGCTTATTTCAAAAAAAAAAGAAAGGAAGAAGAAGAAATACATGTTGCATCAAAATGAATACTAAAGCCAAAAGCACTATATCTCATTGGAGCCCCTAGAAAACTATTTGATATCTTTATTATCCTTTCACACCCTTATCCAGTAAAGGAAAGCATCTTGTTTTAGGACACTTGCATAGGTCATCTCTCTTCAGCTACCTTTTTTGAAATATAACTCTCTTAAGCTACTTGTTCTCAAGGTCTCTATCATTTATTCCTTTCTTGCTGCACCTTTTTATCTATTTCCATTGCCCATTCAAAAGGTCACATATCTTGGAATCAATTCTTTCTTAGAAATCTTAGTAACGGGGAAACTATCGACATGCTTTCCTTGGTTAACTGAATTGGGCCTCTACATATTTACTCTGTCACTGACTGTAGGCTTTGAAATTTGGAGTTTTGAAGTGTTTTCTAGCTTGCAAATTCTTTGCGGATTTAACTGAAATCTGCTATAAGCTTCCAGGCCCTGTTGTGGTCTGTCCCCAGATGTGTGTGGAGCACTATTGGAATGATGAGTCTCATATATTTTTTCTTTTGTTGTTTTCATTTTGATGTGATCAGGAGTCTATAGACTAGGTTGTTTTATGTTTAAAGTGTTAATTGGATCTCTCCTCCTAACCTTTTATGTTTTATCTCTTCCTTTCACCATGGTGTTGGGGAAGATGGACTCTTTATAGCTTATTCAAGTCCATAAACTATTCAAGGAGATTGAATAGTAGGGAAAGAAAGAACCATTCCCAATTGCAAATTAAACAGCACAGTGGAATTAGTATACATTTTAGGTATTGTTTGGTGTAACAAAATTACGGAACTGACTGGACAAAAAATTATATGTTTGATGGTAAAAGAGAGATGGTTGAACAATTGAAATTATTTCAAATTATTTTTCAGATGCTAATGATTTACATTAATTATAATCTACTTCAATCAATTAATATATTTCCTTTTATAATTTAAATAATTTGATAATTTAAAATGACATGATTTTGCATTAGCCATGAAAAAACATTTAACTGTATAAGGACTTATGTAATTAGACCTACATTTGTTCTGTCCAAATCGTGCATCCTAAGCATATGACTCTTGGTGCAACTTAGAAACTGAATTTCTTGTACATGAGAAGGAATATGTACATGGGTATATAAATAGCTATTATTCTAGAATTTGGAGAGACTGAATTTGTTATATATTAAAAATAAACATATGCATTAAAGCTCTCTAAATATATGCTAATAACGTTATTGTAATAGAAGATGATAAACAAGAAAAATTGGTGCTCAAGTAATGTCTAGCAAAATAGTTCCAAACTAATGAATTAGATAATTTGAAGTATTTCCTTAGAATTGAAGTCGCCAACTCAAATTCTGGAATTTTCCTCTTCCAGCAGAAACATATTTATAACCAATTAAGGGATACTGACAAGCTAGTATATAAAACAGCTAGTACTTCTATTGATTCCGTTCATAAATTGGGAGCGTTAGAAGAAGATACACTAATAAATAAAGAGATGTATCATAAATTGGTTGTAAGATTCATATAACTATCCAACATGAGACTAGATATTGCTTACGCAGTAAATGTTATAAAATCAGTTCATGTACAATTTAAATAAGTGCACTAATAGGCAACTTACAAAATGCTGCATTATTTAAAAGGGTCACCTAAAAAAGAGATCTTATTTAGAAAGAGTGACAGGTATTTCTAGAAGTCTATGTGGATGCAAATTACACAAGGTCAATAGTGGATAAAAGATCTATGGTAGGTTATTGTATCTTATTTGGAGTAACGTGATTACATAGAAGAGTAAAAAACAAAATATAGTTGCAAGATCAAGTTCTGAATGAGAATTTCCAACAATACCCCAAGGGATATGTGAACTACTATAAATAAAAAAAAATTAAAAGATCCGAAAATCAATAGAGAGAACTCTATCCACCTATATAGTGACAATAAATTGGTCATATATATTTTATACAATTCGATACAACATAACTAGACTAAACATATTGAGGCCGACCAAAGCTTTATTAAAGAAAAACTCGATAGCATCTAATATGTACTTCATACATGTTTACCAGCTCATAACTAGCAGATGTATTAACTAAAGACATGAGTAGTCCAATATTCTAAGATAATATTGGCAAGTTGTGAATGAACAATATCTAATCCCAAACTTGAGAGAGAGACTTAAGGAGAGTGTACTATATGTGTAAATTAGATTAAAGGACATTAGGGTAAAATATATCATACGTAATTAATTATCTATTTCTGTTCTATTCTAGAAAAACATATATATAGGGTTGTGATATTTAATAAAATACATGCTCACAATCTTAACAATATCTATAGTTGTTATAATGAGAAAAAGAAAAAGAGACTATTACGAGAAATCAATTCCAATTTTAATATCAATGGGATTCTCTAACCAATATCTATATTTTTATGAAACTAATTTCCTAAATGCTAAAAAAGAAAATTGAAGGGTTTCTTAACAACTTTAAAATGTCTTGTTCTGTTCAATTCTATCTAGTTCCATTTAATCTATTCTAAATATGCACCAAAACGTTATCTTGATATGATTCAATTCTATGAGAAGGATTATTGTGTTTCAACCTATTATATTAATGAAATGAACTTCATATCAATACTATACAATTTTTATTTTTTTAAAAAATAATAATGAAATGAACAAACGATGGTGCAATCCAATATATTCCTAATATCTAAACGAATAAATGTATGACAATGAGCATCTACTAAAACCTAAGATATCAAACAAAATTAGTTTGATGGAAAAAAATTTTAGTGCAAGAATCTTAGCAGTAGCGTGCACAGATTTACAAAATAAAACATAAAGGAAAGTGATATTATGAAACATGAAAATGAAATATGAGAAAATACCTGGGAAGAAATGCAATCTAGTTTTATGGGAACGATATCATATGCTGTCACTTTATCTTGTGCCCACTTTGGGAGTCTAGAGACGCTAAACTTAAATGAAGCGGTAGTGCATGAGCTTTCCCAATGAGAATGCTCTTTTTTCTCTATATGATTGGTGTACTCTAGTTGTGATAAATCTCTTGGCTGATCTTCTTCTTCAAAATTCACAATTTGTTTAAAAGCCACAGGTCGGACCAAGGCTCTTGGTGACACTGTATGACAATTTTCCCTGACCTTCTGCAGTATCTTAGAAGACACACGAGCAGGCACTTTCCATACGAAGATACAACCATCACCTCCTGCCTGAATACATCAACAATATGAGACACGAAATACTATTTCAGTAGTTGCATAGTTTTGTAGTTCAGTTATCATATTTATTTGTAACCTATTAATTAAATTATTTGCATTAAGTACAAAAAGATTGAGTACAAACTGGAAGAACAGGGATTAACTGCTAAAGCCTCCTCTTTATTGAAGTTTATCTACAACTTCTAAGAAGATTACTTTCCGTATTCTAATTTTATTATGATAGTTCTAAAGAACGTAAGAACATCCAAATGACATCACCCTTAAAGAGAAATCGAAGAAATTTCTCCTTAGTATGAGTGGTATCTGATGGAAAAACATCAGTGTCTTCCTTTTGTTCCATAGCAAATAAACAAGTTAGGCACCCGTTTGAGTTAGCTCATTCAATTGTTTAGGGTCTTAGTCATGTTCCTAAGTTAGGTTTCCATTATTTTTGTTGATAACTTTCCAAGAATGGTTCAAAACTATTTCATATGTTTTTTCACATTCAATTCTAAAACTCAAGTCATATATCTGCATATTTTTCAAAGTGAACATGCTAAAGGATATTGCTCAAAATGTTCAGTAACTTTCATACTCAATGTGGGGTGATCAGTCCATTCTTGCCTACACAGAACACAGCCATGTTAGAATGATGTTGTTGCACAAAAAATTCGAGAGTTAATTAAATCCCTTGCGGTCTATTGATTTATATGAAAATTCCCAAACTTTGTTGGAGTAATCTTATTCTCAATGCACGCTACCTTTTATTCTTGTACTGTATTTTTTCCTCACAGAGATTTGTTTGCCTCCACATATTTTTGTTTGTGTTATGGATTGCAGTTCTTTATACCAAAAAAAATAAAATCAATCATTACGATGTAACAGAATTTTCTTCAATTAGAAATAATGGTAATTATTTAACTTACTATGATTTCTATACAACATTTTAAAAATTGAATTGACGATGTATTGAATCAATTTGAGTGCCCATAGATGCCAAGAGTAAAGACATAACCAGGTAACACTTAATACAGTTGAAAAGCCAAATGTAGACACAAGCATACTATAATATGCAAGTTTCAGAATGGGAACTTACAGAAACAACATGCTCGCAGTCAGGCAAGAAAATGAGGCCGGTCACCACTTCACCATGCCCCATGGCTTGAGCGACAATCTCTCCGCTAAAAAAGTCATACATGCAGATTGACTTGGTGGAATATGAGCAAATCAGATAACAGCCACTAGGATCCATAATAACCTGTAAAACATGATTCATTTTCAACATTAAAACGTTGCAATGCCTATGTTGATTGAATGATCTAATAAGCTTTCCAAAAGCCATTTCAAACATGCTTACCTTTTTATCTAAAGAGTGGAATAGAGAAACCAAGTTTCCAATTGATATCACTACTAGAGTTCTAAAAGTTTTTTACTTGTACAATGCACAGAGAGAAATAACTATTAATATCGTGTTAGAAAAGGACTACAAGGACAAGTCAATTGGTTCAACTTACCTTTATTGGTTCTCCAAAGTCTTTATCTTGCTTTAGTGATCTAATAAGCCTTCCAGAAGCTATGTCAAATATGTTTACCTTTTTATCCTACAAGTATAATACAAAAAATCACCAATAAATTTCTAGTAATAACACCACAAGAGGTTAGCACATTTTCTAATTTTAGAAAATAGCAGCTATAAAGAATCGATATCATGTACAAACGACGACTACAAATTGGTTTAACTTTCAATTGGCTAAGGGGGTCATGTTGAACTATCACTTTAAAATGGTCCTTTGATTCCTTAATAACTACCAGAGAAGTACACCTGACCAACAGTAACAACAATCTCCATCGTTGGATCTACAGCCATGTCGTAGACAGTTCCATGAGACGCCACTTGATGATGATGACGTGAAATCTTATATCCATCCTGTGTTACAGCAACGCCACGAAACACCAAGGATCTGCGGGGAAAAAAATAATAACTTTAGCTGCCGGTAGTCTCAAACTAGATGGCAAGTGATAGTTTCACGTGACTACTACAAGTAATTGAAGCCTAATAAGATTAGAAAGGCAAAATTTGAACTTCAAGAAACCTAGAACCACCATGCCAATTATTTTCTTACTCATTGGAAAGGATAACCATAATTAAAGAATGCTTTTGCAAGAGGATGCAAACTGATGACGTATGTATCACTAATAAAATTCTTAAGTTGATAAGCATCATTTCAATAAAATCTGAAGTTACAGAAGCATACCTATCAGCACTGCAACTGAGAATCTTATAGCCATTGCAGGCAAGTTTCACCGAAGTGACAGCAGCAGAATGATCATCAATAGTCTCCACAAGATCAAAATTCCTTATACAAAGAGAAGTTATTTAGTGTCCACATTCAACAAACTAAGAGCACGCCAAAAATTTAGTAGAAAACCTCTGCACATCATAAAGGTGGATTACTCGATCCCGTCCACCAGAAGCAAGGAAGTAATTGCAATCAATTTCTTCAGAATCAGCATCCTTTGTGCTTGACAACCTGAAGCTCAAAGAGAGGATCTCAGCATCATGAGTCTCCTGCCACAGTATCATATATTGTCATCAATGTCAGGAGAGCAAAAAAAGCCATAATTTATGCCCATATATATTCAACCATCAATGTAGATTCCTAGAATTTACATTTAGACAAGTGTAATCAGATGTATGTAGGTCATAGATGTGCAGATTCCCCTTGCAATCACCAGCAGCCAGATATTTTCCATCCTGGCTAACAGCCAATGACCGGAAGCCTAGACTGCTAATACTTGTCTCCAAAGTATCGCGTTCAAAAATTCCAGCACTTACTGAAGTAGGAGATAGGAAAAGAGAATCACCAAGTTAGATAATAAATTATGATAAATAAGAATCTAGTCTACAATTATGGAAAAGGATATCAAACTTCCAGCATGTCCATGTGTACATTTCAAAATCAAATGCCTAACAGAAAGTGACTTACCTAAATGTGCAGTGCCCACTGTTTGACTGTTCAAAGGATTATAGTCCACATGAACGTCTAATGAATCAGGTTGCAAGGCGAGATCCCACAATCTGATAGTACCATCAGCTGAGCATGTTGCAAAGGAAACCCCACCAGAACAGCCCCTGGCTACACATGCAGAAGATGGATCATGCAGGTTTTCACAGCAAAGATTCTTGATATCCCATATGCACCCAGAATGTGAGAGTAGCACATAGGACCTGGTAACCTGGAGAGGTACAGAAACATTTGCTTAAGCTCCAAAAAAAGGGATAAAAAGACAGAAAGTAGAACACGAGCAAGAACTTGTCCCTATTTTTCTTGAAAAGGAAATGCAATACAACGTACAAAAAATGACCAACAAAAATTTATGAAGTAAGCACCTTATTCAAATCACTGATGTTCCATACATAGAGACTATGATCTCCATAAACAACCACTGCAAAGCAGAAAGATATTACCCTTTTCCAGTAAGAAATAAATGGTAAAATCCAAATTTCGAGACAGTCTAGAGAATTATACACTCACCAAGCTTTTCTGTTGTTGAGAACTGACAAGCAACTGCATCAGGAAGAGTGGATGCAGGTTGAAAATCGTTTTTACTAACTCCATCATGGCAAATAAGTTCATTCTCCATATTGATTTTTTTGGCTTCTGAATACAGTATGCTTCCAGCATATTTTAAGCTATCAACACTAAAGAGCTGTACTAGTCCTTTACTGCATGCACAAGCAAGTAGTTTTTCTGATGCAGATAGAGCAAAACCCTTTTCCACCTAGAAACAATTCTACATGTCATAACACATAATCACTATAAAAAATATTAAGCTGCATAATTGATTGCAATTTAGACAACTGGATCATTATATGTGAATTTCTTTCAAAAGTAGATTTCTATGACTTTTTTTCTGCCCTGTTCATATACCAAATCCCTTCTGTTTCAGGTAAGTTTTTATTTAAAGAAGAAAAAAAAATTCTAGAAGTCACAACAAGAAACCAAAATTCCTACAACCATTTTATAACCCAACTCAACCATAGGGAAACCATTGACTTATGAGTTTCTGCACAAGCTCAACTTTCAGCATAGCAAATCAAATTGGACTATAGGGAATCTATAATGTTTATATCATGGACAAAGAGATGTCTCCATCAGCCCATTTTTCCTGCTGGAGCCTCAGTTAAAGTTCCACTTTATAAGACAAGTCAGCTAGCTAACATCTAAAATAAACAATGAACAATCAAGTCAAGGCATACCTTCAAATCCACAGAATTTCTAACTGATGGCCCAGAATGTATGAGACATAAAACACCTGTAATTAAAATGAATAGAATGGGACTCATTGATCGGACTTCAAAGGCTCCAATGAACTTAACATCTTAGCTTGCAAGAGAACTCCAACCTGCATAAGTCAGTGCATATATAGGAAAAAATTCGCCAGCTTGTCCATTATTTACAATGTTAGAATTAGTCCAGAAGGAAGACGTGACTGATACGAAAGAGCTTCCTTTCTGAAGTCCAAGGTCAACAGGCTTTCCATGTATTGTTAGTGATCCCGACTCTTTACTTGATCTGCTCCTTGGAGATGTTCCAATTGTCCAGAACTTCAAGTGTTTCTTTCCAGCAGTAACAATGAATTTGGCATCTGATGAGAAACTCACAGATGTAACAGTAGAACAAGAAGAACTTGCCTTGAGTTTTGTAATCAGCGTCCCATTCCTCCAATCCCAAAGATAAATATATCCTCCAACAGAGACCAAATGTCCACCTTAAAATTAAATAAGAGTTAGGTAGTTCAAAAACAAAGCATAAAGCAGGAAGACGTAAATTTTCAGAGAGAGGTGAATGACAACATACAAAAGACAAATACATATATGGTGAGCAATAATAACTGACGAACGCAACTTACCATCAGGAGAGAAGCATATGCATTCAACTCCAAATAGATGGCCTTTCAGCTCAGATATAAAGCTCAAAGTTGTGTAGTCCCACACTAAGACTGCAGGTTGATTCCCTGACTGTAAAACCAAGTTAAAAATGCACATTAGTATTGCCATAACATAGAATAAATATATTTATTACATAGTTATTTTTTAGCATAAGTCTTTCTTTTTAGTTAATTTTCCCATTCATAGTTCTCCTTTTCTTGGCATAGGGATCCCTAAAGATATAGAAAATAGACTCAATCTCTTATTTAGATTGTGTTCTTAATAATAGCAGCAAATAAATCCTTCTAACCAAATAAAACACAATTCTCTCCAGATTCTTCACCAAGTCAACAAGTCGACTCTCATCTGAGTCCCTAAACATATCCACTGAAAATTGCATGAGAATGAAGTAGCTTATACGTAACAAATTGCACCTTCAAGAGATCCATGAACTAGAGCATCCAGATAAACTAGGGCCAACCAGGAGACAGTAACCAACCTAAATTTGGGAAATTTATAGCCAAACGAAAAGAAACGGTAGTCAACAACCATTTTAAATCAAACACTGTTAGATATTACAAAATGATGGTACATTTGGCATCAGCTTAATCTTCGGAGATGATTCCCATACATTACATCCATGTCGAAATAAAAACCCAAATGAGAGAAAACAAATAAATCACTAGAAAAGGCAAAAGGAATTCTAAAACTTACGAGAAAGCAGTAACTATAAAAGAAAACGAAAATGTACCTCTCCAGCTGCTACAAAACGCCCATCCTGCGATACAGTAACGCAGCTAAGGGGCTTAGGCGTCCGATGGGAGACCGTGAGGTGTGATTGAGTGTAATCATCCACATCGTAAACGACCACCACACAGCCCGCCACGTAGACGCATTTTGTGCTGCAAATACTCGAGGCCAATCCACTGGCATTCTTCGTGGTCAGTCCGATAACTTCCTCCAAAACCAGCTGCAAAAATTTCAAATTGAAACTAATACGCGATGTTTAAATCTCACTAATCAATTGAATTAGATAAATACTCAAAATTCAGTCACTCCCTCCAAAACCAGCTGCAAAATTTTTAAATTGAAAGTAACACACGATTTTTAAATCTCAGTAATCACTTGAATGTAGAGAATAACCCAAAATTCTAGAGGACCAACCTTCGAGTGCGATTCGAGTTTCTTGATTTTACGGTTTGGTTTCATATTGATTTGAGCCCCCCAAAAAAATTCTAACAAAAGATGAAAAGCTCGCGATTGAAGGGATTGGTGGATTGGACCTAAATCTATACTTAATCAGAGAGATCAAAATCATTTAAACGCTATGAGCCGTTAGGCTTTTAGGGGCAAAGCTGTTAACATTTTCAAATGGAGAGAGAAGGGAGGGGCGGGAAGCTGGGAACAAAACTTCACCTGCTTTATCGATTTGTGATTTGTCGAGAAACGGGGTCCACTCACTGAGTCGTGCGTGCGTTAGTATTGGATACTTCAAGATTTGACGACGTTGACCAGATTAATCACAGGGCGCAGATTAAGCTTGAAGTTAATTCATTTAAATTTTAAAAAGGATTTAAATAGTAAAATGGCTTGTGATACTTTTTAAGCCCTTAATTTATTTTATTTTTTTTGCTACTACAAGCTTATGCACTTTTAAAATATTTATAAATAAATATTCAAAATTAACTCATTTTTAATCAACATCACATATTGACTGTAAATACTTATTAATGACATAAAATTCTCTAAAATACATTAGAGAAATCTCAATGTGTCTTATAAAAGTAATTTGTTGGTTGACATTGTTCAGACTCTTGAAATTACTATTAAGCATGAGAAACTTTTAGGTTTGTTGTTTGATCAAACTCTTTAAGAATAAATCAAAGAATAGAATGAGAAGAACAACATGATAGCTGTTGGTTTCTATTAAGCACAGGCTCCACTCAAATGATGAGCAAGAAATGCATTAATCTTTGAACAAGGTACATAATAAAGTACCGATTTTCATTGAATTTTTTTTTTTGTGCAATGAAATACGAGTCTATGCTTTATCTATATTTTATATCATTAAAAAAAAAAATTTATGCAATGAAATACGAGTCTATACTTTGTCCATATTTTATATCTTTAAAAATGATAAACTAGTTCAAAATATTTGTTCTTTTGATGATCCCAAGAAAAATAAATATCCAATATGACTTTTTATCATATTTATAGTAATGTACACTAGCTATCATAAACTATATAACTTGATCAGCCTGTAGAATATTAGAATTACTAAAATCAATAGTTTACTTGAATTTTTTTATTCTTTTACTCGCATAACAAGTTAGGAAAAATATATTAATGTTGCAGCTACTATTATAAGTATAAAAAGAGATTATAATGCAAGATTTTATTAGCAATAATTAGAGCAATGCCTTTCTCGTTGTTACCATGTTTAAAAGGGTGAAGATAAATCAAGCTTCTGAAGCTACCAAAGGGCTATTGAACGACTGAACCAATAATAAAGTCTCATGTTCTCACATCTTTGTAATTAGTACTCAAATGCATGCCCAAATATTTAATTGATAGGTCCGTTATTTTACATCCTAAAATTTTTGCTAAACTACTCATATTACTCTCATTTCTCAATCTTATTCTCAAATTTTGTAAAATTTATATTGAGATAAAAAAAAAAAGCAACTTAAAAATAATATAGAACGCATCTAAAATCTTATAATGATCTCTCTTCTAGTTGACAAAATATCAGTATATCATCAATAAAAAATAAATGTGGTACTTTCATATATCTCTCATTTACCCACCTTGAGTCCTTTAAACAAACCCAACTCTTTAGCTTTCACTAATAACTTATTAAATACTTCAATTGCTACTTTAAATAATTTGAAAAATAATGGATCCCCCTTACTAATACCCTTTATTAGATGCTTTAAAAATTATTATGGGCCATCATTCACTAAAATTGAGAAGGAAGTTATAGTAATACAAGTGTTGATCCACTTCCACCATTTAACTTCAAAGCTTATTCTCATTCGCATGTAATTAATAAAACACCAAAGGACATTAAGGCTTCAAGGCGATAATAGCAATGGACATCAGGTCCTTTGTAATTGCATTGGGTTTAGTATCATGAGTACAAGGAATTCCCATGTGTCTATAATGATGAAACACATTATACTATAATATAACATTTCTTAACAAAAGTTTAATTAAAAGTTATAGATGTTACTTTTATGTCTTAATACATGTAAATATTTAAAAAATAATAATGTACATGAAATATTAGTTACATGAATAAAGTGTTGGTTTGATTTTGATAGAGTAAAGCAAACTTACTAATCAACATTCACGAGAAAAAACTAAGTAAAATAAGTTCGATGAGAGAAAATGATGGTACACAATAGAAATGAAAGGTTTAAAATACGTGACAAAATCAGTACGAGGTATAGTCCACATAGTTTATAAAACAATATCATTTTTTTCAATGAATTGGTCTGTATTGTAGTTATTATATTTTTTTTATCTGAATAAAAAATGTTAGATAGAGTTTTTAACATGTTGTATTTATCTCAACTAAATTATTATTTTAGTATAAATAAAATGTTCAATTATATTTTAACAAAAAATGTAAAATAAATTAAATTTGAAAACTTATGACCCAATTAAATAATTTTAATAAGTGAAGAAATTTTTAATTTTCGATGTGTAATTATATCATCATGTATGAAAACTCTAAAGCTAATCAACTAACATATTTTTTTGAATGAAAAATGAGGTTAGGTCAAGTTTTAACTTATTGTAACTATATCAATTAAGGAATTTAGTTAGTAAGGAATGTTTTTTTTTTTTCCTCTCATAAACACAATAAAGTCATTAAAATTTAATTAAATTTAATCATTATAATTTTATTAATAAATTAGTGAAATAAATTCTTGATTATATTAAATCAGATATTATAAATCAATATTATGTTATTTTAAGCAAAAACATCTTAATCTTTAAATAAAAATACAGGACTTGCACTATTTTAAGTTACTCTAATTTTAATGCGGAGACAACGAATTCAGCAAACCTAACTCGGAAGTAAAAGTAGTCTGAGATAATAGCCATGTTTTAATTTCCATAAAACCTCCGCCAACAAAGAGGTTCAATTTATATCGTGCACGTGCAAGAGCATTGTGATGATGTGACATCCCATAACGCGAATGCCAATAATCATATTAAACGATTTCATAATATCTAAACTTCGTTATTTGAAGTTTTTACTTTCTGCAATGTATGGATGCATCCATGGCCATGATTATCCTCTATGATGATAAGCCCCTTAAAAGGAAAATCTTCCATGGATATACTCCGTGAATTACCAGAAGCATATATATCGCCCCGTTATTTGGATTAGTTCGGTAACTCCGTATAATCCTCTACTATCATGCTATTTCCATTTTCACAATTTCAAATCGAGTCAGATATTAGATTTACTGAGCTGCAACTGACTGGCAGAGCCGGTCGCCCGTAGCCCCCGTTAGAGTAAAGAATGTTAATTACATCTCTACGTATACCCGGCGGAGTAAATAACACGTGTTGCCACGTAGGATATCTTTGAATGGAGACGCAGCTCATGAAGTAAAGAAAGTACATTGACTAAAATGCCCTCGAGACCGATCATCTCTCACCAACCTCCCCTTACAATAAACTTCTTCTTCAATGGTTGGTGCTAAGCCTCCAATCTTCCTCACCTGAAAATCAGCAAAGACAAAACCCTCCCACTATCTTCTACTTTAAGCCATCCCCATCAATGCCCGTTTGATCCTCTCTCTCTCTCTCTCTCTCTCTCTCTGTATATATATATATATATGTATACATCATACCTCACTCTGTTTCTCACATGGCGGCTAAAACTCTGCAACTCCAATATCCGTCTCGTTTCTCAACCTCCCGATCAAAGCTATTAGGATCGAGTCAAAACCATCTGGGATTCGAATGTGGGATCGTGAGAAATCCGATCAAATGGGAGGGTTTGGGCGTGTCGTCGGTGGGGTTTATGAGAAACAGAGCAGGAGGGAAAACAGAGGAGTTGAAGGGACAAGCGGTGAGGTGCGCGGCAGAGGGGATAGAGAGAGGAATCATAGTGGGAGAAAAAGGAGATGATAAGGTAGAAGTGAGAATTCCGGAGAGGTTGAAGGTGGTGGCATTAATGGCGTGCGTCATGTGTCTCTGTAATGCCGATCGAGTTGTCATGTCCGTTGCTGTTGTTCCTCTCGCTGCAAAACTTGGTTGGTCAAATTCTTTCCTTGGCATCGTTCAGGTACCCTTCACATCTTTCTCTTTGCCCTTTTGTTTTTTGTTTTTTTTTTTTTTTCATTTTTGCAAACTCGTCGTTTTCGTGTTCCCCAAAAAGAAAAGGTCAAAAATTAAAAAAAATAAAATAAATAATTCAATCAAAAGTATTGTTTATTACTGGTACGGCAAAACTACAATTTTTGTTTGTGGCTGTACGAAATATTAGTTTTAAATTTCTTATCTAAAAATTACGAAATTAGAAGGGAAAAAAAAAAAAAAAAAAAGTTAAATGCAGATTGTCAAGTTTAATGTATTTTAGTTATTTTATTATGTACAATATAACATAAAAATAAATTCAGAACCGTCACCCAAATTTACTAGTTTTAATTATGTTACGTTTTTTTCTTTTTATGTTATTAACTTATTATAATTTCTTAAAAAAGATTGTACATTTATATATATAAGGATTAAAGAGATCAGGTGTGGTTGTCGAGAGAGCCATTTGTTGATCCGGTCAAAAAACCAAGTGCCAACACATAATACAACTTCAAGTTTTCAACACTTTAATTTAATGTCTTTGGTAACAGTGTATATATATATATATTTTTTTAATAAGTCTTATCGTTAATTTTACAAGTAAATGTGGAACTGTCTATTTCGTATTGTGATTTAACATCCATACTAATAAAATTTTAAATAACGTATGTATCGAAGTCATCATTTCTTTGGGGATACATATTCTCGTCAGTAATAGGAGGAAGGTTGGTGGACAAATATGGAGGAAAAAAGGTTTTGGCATGGGGCGTAGGAATATGGTCTTTGGCTACACTTCTTACTCCTTGGGCTGCCAACCACTCCACAACTACACTCTTCACAATTCGAGCCATCTTTGGACTTGCCCAAGGCGTAGCTTTACCTTCCATGACCACGTTCCTTTTCAGGTATTAAAAATAATATTATATTATTTTTAAGAATATTAAATATTTCAGTTTTATTATTCGTAAAGTGAATTGAAATTAAAAAGTTATTGTTGATCTGTTTTTTTAATTTAAACTAAAATAAAGATACCCTAAATGATTTTTTAGAATTTATGAATTGCTCAAATTATTCTATAAGAAATTCACTACGAATGTACTAAAGCTTTTTTTTTTTTTTTTTTTCTAATGTTAGGTGGTTCCCAAGTCATGAACGTGCAACTGCAGTTGGTATTTCCATGGCTGGATTTCATATTGGGAACGTGATGGGCTTAGTTTTAACACCTCTTATGCTATCATCACTTGGAATTTCTGGTCCTTTCATTCTCTTCTCCTCTCTAGGTTTATTATGGCTCTCAACGTGGGTGTCTGGGGTCACAAATGACCCACGACGTAACCCATATATCTCTAAATCAGAACTGCTATATATCCAATCCGGCAAACTTAACTCTCCTAATCCCAACAATACTGACACGCCACCTCTACGTCTGCTCTTGTCCAAAATGCCATCTTGGGCTATTATTTTCGCTAACATAACCAATAATTGGGTAATTTCTTCTTATCATCATCACTTTACTTTACTTTTCTCTTCTTTTTTTTAGTTTATATTGATTATAACGTTCTTAAAACATGCTTTTAATCACAGGGTTACTTTGTTCTTCTCTCCTGGATGCCTGTTTATTTCAAGACAGTAAGTTGCTATTTCAATTCCCTTATCATATTTAATTAAATTCACTTTCAAAGTATTATATTAACCATACATTTTAAAAAATTTACTTGAGTATAGGTGTTTAATGTGAACTTGAAGCAAGCAGCTTGGTTTAGTGCTCTTCCATGGGCGACAATGGCAGTTTCTGGTTACATTGCAGGTGCAGCATCCGATTCCTTAATCCAAACAGGCTATTCGTTGACCCTGGTACGAAAGATCATGCAGGTAATTTCCTACACAGACTGTATTTTGAAAATTCCCAATGGAAATGCAGCATGGTTGATAATGATCAATTGGTATGCATGACAGTCAATTGGATTCATTGGACCTGGGGTCTCGTTACTTTGGTTAAACTACGCGAATTCACCGGCTATGGCTGCAGTATTTATCACAATAGCCCTGAGCTTAAGTTCTTTCAGTCAAGCTGGCTTCCTTCTTAATATGCAAGTGAGTAGATTTCAGCCATAATCAAAACCAAAACCAGTTTAAAGTTCCTCCAACTATTGATGCTTCATTTTTAAACCCATTTTTTTAATGTAACTTGTTTGGTTGACCAGGAAATAGCTCCTCAGTATGCAGGATTTCTCCATGGTTAGTTTCCTTGTGTCTGCTAAGCCTGAATTGATTTCTTTCTTTATATATGAATTCAGAATCTTAATTATTGGTTCTTTCTTTTTTTTTTTTTTTTTTTTCTCAGGCATTTCGAATTCGGCTGGGACTTTAGCTGCAATAATAAGTACAACTGGAGCAGGTTATTTTGTTCAATGGCTAGGATCATTTCAAGCATTCCTCAATCTCACAGCTGCACTGTATTTTGCTGCAGCAATCTTCTGGAACTTGTACGCGACGGGAGAGCGAGTTTTCTAGATTAAAATTTCATATAATCAACTGGTAGCTTAAGTAGTATATGTAGGGTGTACAAGAGGAAGTAAATACGCAAAGATAATCAACTAAAAAGACGAGAAAGATTGATTTATTATGAACCAGGCAGAAATTCTCATGTCTCATTGTATATTTTTTTTTCTCCTTAATTTTGTTTTTGTTCATTCATTAAAGTCAAAGAATTGAGACTTGTATGTATTTAATTATTATTTAAATTATAAATTAAATCTACAACCAGTTTTTGGTATATATAATAATTGAAGGTTTATATTTTAAAACATACTTCAAATATGACTCAAAACTAATATGCATTACAAACCCAAAAAAAAAAAAAAAAAAAAATTATATATCTTCACATAATTTTATATAATTTTTTTACAAGAAAAAAAAAACATAATATTATGTAATAATTTTATTATTAAATGACTATAAAATATTAATATATATTTTATTGTTTACATCTTAAAAAATAAATCAGGTGCCTTGCAATGTTTAATTTCTACTGTTATTATTTTTTTGAATTATAAAATACGTGCAGTCCGTGAGCAATGACGTGGCAGATTGTGATTGGATGAGTAACCAAATTAACAAACTGACAACCGCAGATGAGTAAAACAATGAGGCTGAACTTGCTATGCGACAATTGTCACGTTTTTTATGCTCATTTGCAGCATATACGTAAATCATAAATTCATTATTGGATTAATACACCAGTTTTAATATTATTAATAAAACATTATAAAATTAAATTAAAAAATATTTAAAAATATAATGAGATAATAATTAATTTAAATAAAAATTAATTGTTCAAATGATATTTTTTTTCCTCATCTAAAATTTCATTCAGATTAAATATTAAATTTTTGTTGAGAAGATAAATGTTAAAAGATATTATTATTGCCACCTGAAGGCCGAGAAGGAACTAAATATATATACATTTATATTTCTACGTGTGTGTCTGTATATATATACATATGTATATCCTCTCCGTCACAAATCTCCGATTGAAAGAACCCGAAACAACCAAAGTCTACTTCTTCGATTTCTCCACACACTCGGATAGCTACTATTTACCCTTTTAACTCACTACCCTTCACCTCATGTTATCATTCTAATTTGTTAGATCCCAAATTCACATCACCCCATCAACCTCCGCTTACTATCTGGAGAATCCCATCTTCAGAATTGGAAATTTCAGTCAAACCTAGGAACAAAAGTTTTTTCTTTATGGTATGAACCATACCCACCATCTGATTACTGATTAGCCTTGCAATTCTGTCTTCCTTGCAATTCCAACCAAATCCAGTTGCAGTTTTGGGAATATACTGGCTCTGATTAAGGGATTTCTGAAGGAGCCCAATTAAGAAAGCTTGAATCTGAATCAGGTTTCCTTGTTCCTCATTCTTAGATATGAATTTCAGGAGCTTGGAGGAGTTTTGGCCCTTCTATGTAAGTCAGCACTCTAAGCCTTCAACAAGACGTTGGCACTTTGTGGGAACACTAACAAGTATGGTCTTTTTGCTATGCTCACTTTTCTTCAGTTGGTGGTTTCTATTCTTGGTGCCATTATTTGGGTATGGATGTGCTTGGTACAGCCATTTTTTTGTTGAAGGGAATGTCCCTGCGACTTTTGGTCATCCTTTTTGGTCTCTTTGTTGTGATTATAAGATGTTTGGATTGATGCTTACTGGAAACATGGATAGGGAGATCAAGAGATTGGGAAAGAGGCCCGTGTTGCAGGTCCTTTAATCTCAATATAAGTTTTTCTGGCTTTTTTTTTCTTTTTTCATATTATAGGATGCTTTTTGGTGTCTTACCTTTATGTATGTTATTTTGGTACATGTGTCGATACCTGTTTATTAAACTTGCATATGAATTCTTGAGTGGAATAAATTAAGGAGATATTTCTACTGTTATAGTTATCTTGATTGACTGTTTTCAGCTCTTCTGCTGTTTCAATACTGTAATTGTTTGTCTTTCCTGGTAAATTTTCTTAATTTGTTCCTTATTTCAGTTTATTCAATCCTTGGGTAATATTGGTTGATTATGGATGTATTAACTTGATTTTTACCCAGGGTTTGGTTTGCTCTAGAAATATAAGCTTTGGTAAGACCACTTGTGAAACTTCAAGAGTAATCAATGGAAATAACTGACTGAACTTAAAAGTTATTGCAATTTTGGTTTCTTAGTGCTTTGCGTCAATCCTTTGTTTGCTTTCGAGGATAAAATTTACATCTGATTTAGACCATATTTGGTTTAATAATTGTCAATTCATGTTCAATCATACTTTTGTTCAAAATTGAAGAAATACGCTCTTAAATTCTACTTAGGTGTAGAAATCAGATATCTATTTGGATATTAAGATATCTTTTTCCTTTCAGCCTTATCCCATTTCTATATTGGTTATTTCTATTACATGAAATTCGTACTTTTGAGCCAAACGTAGCTTAGCGATAATTAGTGTGAAGTCCGTCTAGTAGTACTGTCAAAGTGTCCAGGAAAAAGATGCCAATAATACGACTTATCCAAATATATTGGGTTCCTCTTCAGTTCCTAGTTTTCAATTATTCAATGTATAGATTATGGACGTACTTTATATATTTAGTGAATAAATGAACCAACTCCCCTCTCATAACTTCATTCCTCAACAATGAATGTATTTAAAGAAGTGTGCCTACCTTAGCGGAGCAGATGAATACACGCCCACTATGATTCAACTATGGGATTCTAGGCTATTGTGTTGTCAACAGAAATTTTCCTTGCCATTCTACTGTTAAGAAGGGTATTTCAAGTTTCAAGCAGCTAAAGACGTACTGTAGCTAAACAGCACCAAATATGTAATAACTTAAGGCGACAATAACTTCTGTTGTATCATGTAGATGATGAGGCTTTTGTTTGCTACTATCAAGCAATCCACTTTTTACAGAACTCAAGGCGGCTGGGGAAACATTCAATCCAAAATATGTAATAACTAATTAAGAAGACATAGATTGTAAGGTATATTGTGACTCTGTCATTGGGAGAGGTAAGAGCATACAGATCAGCTTGGTGTGAGATAAACAGCACCAAATACAAGGTACCTTTCCTTGTAGTAGAGTTTGATCTTTGCCTATTTGATAGTTGCTGCTGCATTACTCAGTTACTCAGCTTTGATTGAAATGAGAGTACGGTTTTTCCTGTTTGTTGCATTTCTTGATGATATTTTTGCAAAATGTATCTTTAGTATTGTTAGAAACAGGTAAGTGAATTATATTTAGAGCTGTAAAGAAGCATGAAAACTCTGTAATTCATAGCATCCATCATGTTGAGCTGCTAAACTCTGGAAACTCAAGGGTTTGGCTTGCTGGTTTGCACTGGTCCTGGAGGCGTGTGCAAAAATCTCACAAATTTCAATTTCAGTTAAATTTCAAAATTATTTACTTCGAACCAACTTAAAATATATCTTTTGTACTTCTTTGGGTGCGAGCGGGTGGAAAGATATTCTTTTTTTCCTAAAAAAAAATCTAAAAATGTTACATCCATCATTAAATGACCTTGAAGGAAGAGGAGGCATGGGGTCTATGTGGAAGAATATAGATTTAAAGTCTATATAATACATAAATTTAAAGTAAAAGACATTTAATTTTAAACAATTTGTACACAGTATTAACTTTAATATTCATAAACAATTCAATAACGGTTTGACCCTCGGTTGATCTGATTTGGAAGTTTGTGCATAATGTATAAAGAGTATTTCTTTTTAATATTTAATAAATTTATTTTCACCTCTAAAAATTTGATTGTTCTTTATAGTTTTTAAATCATGCACAAATTTTGGGCATTTGGGGGTAAAATTAATGAAGCGAAATAATATGTACTTGAAAAAGTTTGTGCGGTGTGAGAAAATTTGTTAAAACATCTTGCTAATCTGGAAATAACTTTTTAACATAAAAGAGAAATTGGATCTGTCTTTTAACATTTCACAAAAAATGTGATTTTTCATATAAATATTGCAAAAGATTTTATTTCACAAAAATTACATCTTGCATAATTAGTAAATTAATAATTGTTTTTAAATTATTAGTATTTAATTGTATTAGTTAATGATCTGATCGGTGAGTTTTTTTCTTGCGTGATCGAAAAAAATCTGATATGATAATTGTTTGAACTAAAGCAAATGGAATCTTGGTGTTCAAAACAAATAAATCTCTAAGCTTACATATAATTTAGGCTTAAAACGTCAATGAAAAATATAAGCTTACAAATAATTTTACATTCTTCGTTAAATTTATTTATTTTAAGCTTATATTAGACCACTCCTTCACCGTTGCTTGGTTTGTCATTCCCTCCTTCCAAAAGGAGTTCGTTACTTACAAGTCATCGAGCCACATGCTTATTTATAATGATCTTGGATCGAAGAAATAAATTATTGGAAGAAAAAGTTAATATACTATTTAGCACAAGTCAATGTAAAGATAATTGGGGCAGCACGCTGAATGTTCAATGGAGAAATGTGCAAACTTGGTGGATGACATGAGTAGAGATATCTATGACCAAAATTCTGCTGAATCAACCATGAATTGAGAGTAATGTTTGGTTGTTGAAATTTGCTGCATGACAAGTCCGTACGAATGCTCAACAACCTGCTCAACACACACAACAGCAGTCCGTATTATGATGATTAATAATCTCGATGGTTGTAAATACAATTCACACTTGCAGTTAGCATGTGCAGATGCCTCTGCTGGTGTTGGAGAATCAGGTCAGTTCATTTTCACTATCATTTGAACAGGACCAAGTCCAACCATGTTACAAAGTAACCCAAATCTGAAATTTCAGTTCAATCAGATGGCCTTCTAAATGGCTGGAAATCCACCCAGCGCCAGAGCATCAAAACTTTTTCTGTGATGATCTAATTTCCAAACCACTAACATTTTCGAGGGACAATTGAGGTTGTGTTATGACAAGGACAACATATATAGCCTAACAAAGAAGATCTCATAGTTCAGTGTTCCGTGAATATGATGGCAAAGGCATTGCCTCTTGTGGACGAAGGATGACAAGCACACCAAACATCCCGAGCATTGGGAGGACAAGAAGCCACTTTAGCAGTTTATAGTAATACATGTGGAATGTCAACGAGAACTCATCTGAGAAATAGAGTCCATTCTTGTCAACCATTTCCACCAAAACAGTCCCAGTGGTCCTCACTCCAACAGTCGGGAGTTTTATTTTATATTTCCCAGTACGTTCAAAGATCTGATTTTGCTTTATTCTCCTCTCTCCGTGGTAGTTGCCCGGAATTAATAAGGTTGTCTGTTCACATTGAAGAAACAACAAAGGCGATTTAATGGCAGGTCCAAGTAGTTAATTAGAATCTGCGCAGAGACAACCAATTTACAGTAACATTATAAGGTGCTTGGGACCCAGATGGGTATTTGTACTTATCAACAATCTCAATCTCCACCCAGAAGTTTTTGCCTTCCTCATCCCGGAATCCTCTTGTTGAATGTGTAACATAAATACCTTCGTGATTGTAGCGATTTGCCATATTGTTTCGTCCTTGATTAGTTGATCTCCATGCCTGATTCATATAAATTACATGCAAATATAATTTTTAAATACAGGAAGGTACATATACAAAAATCTATTCATAAATTTTGTTCGATTCTATCCTACCTTAAGCGGGTGATGTGGAGAGGGAGTTGAGAAGCAAAAGACATTTCCATTCATGGTTGTCACAATAAGATCAAGATCATCTCCACCATCAACATTGTCTGCGAGGACCATGCTATATCTGTCAAGGAGATATCCAAATTTTAGATAAAAGGTAGGGAGATATCCGAATTTTAGATAAAAGGTAGAGGTAAACTGAACAAGATAAATAATTTAGCATCCAAGGACTCACGAGGTTTCACCAATATCAACAACATCAGCACATGATGTAGGTCCATCTATAAGATACAAATAACCATCAAATGATGTTGTGACAATAGTCAGGCCTGTACTTTTCTCTCCCCTTTTGCTTAAATCAGCAAGAAGGACCTGGTTCATCACTCTCCCATGAGTTCTATATGGATAGGGGCGAACCATAGAACCATCTTTGCCACTAAGCACATATATGTTTCCTGATACCGTGGGAACCACAACATCAGTGTGACCATCTCCGTCAACATCACCAATAGCAGGACCCTGACAAAAAAGAGAATTTGTATCAGGTTATCTATTACCAAGGAAATGAAACCACTCTTGTGCATTAGGATTAGCCAATTAGAGAACAAAAAAATTTATTATCAGACAATATCTCTTACAGCCCTTTGGCTTTGATTCTCACTCCATTATTAGCTTTTTTTTACACTTCAAATCTTTAAAATCGTCTTAATGTCTAGAACTACAATATGATATTTATTGTTAAACTGTAATCATACTTTGAATTACTTGGGGATGAAAATTTCAGTTCTCACTTCTCTAAGTATGAACTAGAAATCTCATTCTCAAGAAATTCAAAGTGACAGAAGAAGGGAGCTCAAACATAAAATTTATGTTTTAACTCTGCCTATCAAGACTAACATGAAAAAAATATTTGCACCAAACAGGACTATTTTGTGTCAAAATCTATAAAATTGGGTTCTTAAGACTCTTGAAAGAATGAAAATCATACTTTTTGGGAATGATGAACTAACATGCATGATGATGTTCCCAGAGGCAGTAAACATTTTCCAGGTGAAGGAGGAATAATTACACCAAAAACTTTTCTACTCATGTCAGACAGTTCAATTATCTATAAGGTTTTTTCAATGACATAAACTCTTGCAACAAACAAAAAGTAATGATATTTGTTGCAATATGAGTTGATCATAAGCCTGTCAAGTTTTCGTACATCCCAAAAAGACTTGTACAAATGTCATGAATGTCTCTGACAATGTGTAACAAAGACATTGACATAACACTAGCAAGCATTATCAATGAAACAATAACTTCAGAATTAGCATGTTGTAGGAAAAGTATAGCCCTGATACCAACTTATGCATGATAAGATAGTCTTGATGGAGATCATAGAAGATAAAAATTATAGCAGAGATAAAAGTGGGGGAAATAGGAAAAGAAAATAAGTTAGCGACAGCAAGTGGAAATATTCAGGGGGAGCATAATAAAGAAAAACAGAGCAAACATAAGAAAATATCAAGAGAGGAAAAACAATGTTATTTTTTTTCTCAAACTCAAGAGGAGAGAAAACTAGGGAGCATTTAGATCGTTAAATAGAATAAACGTGAAATGAAAAAGCTATCTAGTAGCCTCTGGAACTTGGTCCTGCTGCTGTAGTCCTAAGAGCTGACCGAGTTTCTTCAAAACTAGATTTTCAAAGTAAAAATTTTGTCCCGAAAAGACATGACCCAGAGAAAAACATGATTACTATTTCTCGCAAAATCAAACTGGGCGGAAATAGAAATAAGGTTAAAATGAAATAGAATAAGGGTAAAACTATGGGGAAACAGAATAAGGGTAAAATGA